AATTCTTTGCTATAATAGACTATTAATTAAAATATAAAATTAAAAGCTCCATTCAATATAAAATATAGTTATTTCAAAGTAATAATATTTAATATCTACTATTAATTATTATTTACATGATAATTTAAATATATCAAAATATATTATTTAATATAAATTAAAAACCTACTCTTAGGAATAGGAGAAAGATAATAAAAATATAATTAAAATAAAAAAGAGAAGAAATATATGGTAGAAATAAAAGGGAAAAGAAAAAAAATTAAATTAATGAGGAATAATTTGAAAAATATCAATTTATTATAAGGTTATTTTTGCCTTGAAAAAATTAATTTTCTGCTTCTGCTTCTACTTTTTGGAAGAAGCTAAAATTTGTAGCTTCTCACCAAAAGTAGAAAAAACTGCCTCTGTTGTTCAAAAGTACTTTTTTCGTCTTAGTCAAACACCTTAAATTTTTCGAAAAGTACTTTTTTAACCAAAAAAAGTAATTTTTTTTTACCTCCCAAAAGCTTGGCCAAACTGGCTCTAAAATAGATGAAAATTTCCTAGTTCTTCTCTAAGCTTATATTTTTGAAAGAATTACAAGAAAATACACATGACTTTACACCATAACAAAAAATGGCCCATATTTTTAAGTTTTACTCGATCTAACCCATATTGTACATATTTTGAAAACAGTAGCTTTTGCAAATTTGTTCTTACAACCATTATTTCTAAAAGCTATGGAGTTAAATATGTGATCTCACAACCATTTACTTTCACTCTCTCTTCTTCTCATATTTTTTACATATGCTTCAAGGGTTGTCCACCATTACTGCTTCTCCCCCTATGTCACCTGGTTGCAATGTAAAAAAAATTAAAGAGTAGAAGTCCACCATTGAAGGCCATTCAAAGCTTTGCTTTCGAAAATAGAATTTTTTTGAGTTTGTTAGTTGTTTGGATTGTGTGATGTTCCAATTGATTGAAAATATCAAAAGGAGTTCAAAATTTAATTTTAAAGTGATTTGGAGGAGATTTGAGCAAGATTTGAGTTAAATTTCAGAAAAGACGCAAGGAAGAAGACGAAGTCAATTTTTTGTATAATTATGTATAATCTTGTATAATAGTGTTTAAACACATCTTAAACATTATTATATACTTTTATACACCTGTATACAAGCGTCGGTAGACGAACTTCATCCACAATTTTCAGTATCAATTCTTGTTTAAAACCAATCCAAATCTCCATTAATTGACTTCAAATTTTATATACAACCTCCTTATACTATTTCTAACAAGTCTAAATAACACCCACTCCAAATTTCTCACAAAATCAAATTCGGAATTTAAACCCACATATTTAAGCTTGTTAAAAATCTAATTTTCACCAACCAAATACCAACCAAATGGATTTGGTTTGTTGAACTAATATTTGAGTCACAGATTCAAAAATTAACTTAAAAGCTTGAGCAGCCTTTTTTAAAAATTAAATAGTAATTTTAAGAACCTAATGGAGTTGGATGTTGAATCTTAGTCTATTATTTTTGGGTTAGTTGGTTGTAAATTAAATTATGGGCTATAAAATTGAAAAGTAGGGAGCTCACTTGTTCTAATGTGAAATTTTCCCTATATTTTTCTCTCACTAGGTCTTCGACCTATCTCTCTTCTATCTAATCTATTCTCAGCTCTCAGGGGCGGATCTAGCATGTAATCTACGGGTTCCCCTGAACTCAGTAGTTTTTATCCAAACTGTGTAAATGTGTTCTAAAAATTTATTAAATATCTACAAATATTTAAATGTGAACACAGTTACTATTGAAAATTTATTCGAAATCGTTAAAGGAACCCATAAACATTATATCCTGGATCCGCCTCTGTTAGCTCTTCCTTCGATTTTTTTCTTACACTAACTATCAAGTGTTACAACTTACAACACACGTTTGTTAGTTTGCTATAAATTAATTGTTTTACTCTTAACTTTGAGAAAATTATGTGAAGGAAGCATGTTGGCGACTTTAATTACTAGTATCAAGTTAATTCTTTCACTTAATCATTCTTTCATGACCATCTTTTTCTTAACTATGCTTTTGTCATAGAAGCCTTGTCCTTAGCTGCTTGTCTTGCCCTTCATGTTTTCTATTCGTTTGACCTGTTATATGCTTTAGTATGAGACAGTACAACACCAAAAATTCATGCAAATAAACAAATAAAATTAAAAGAACATCAAAATAAGTTTGTAAGTTACACGCTTGAGAGTTTAATTATATTGTAACACTGCATTATAGGAATTAAATTCCGAAACTCTAGCTTTCAAGTAGTTAGAAAAGAAGAAGATTGAGTTTTCTTATCAGGGTAAAAAAAGCTCTAAGCAGGTCTGGTAAGTCTAATTGAAATCATTGCTTTTGTGGCTAAATAATTAACAAGGGCGGTCAGACGAGTTTTGTGGCCTAAATTAAATTTTACGAGGGGCCTTAATATATTTTTTTCCAAAAGAAAAATGTGTATTGTTTTTTAATTAAAGTCTATTTTTTCTTGCTTTTTTAGATGCAAAGTTATTAGTAATTTTCTTATAATTAATTTTTCCAAAAAAGTCTTTCTCAATTGACAATATAACTAATACATTTAACCTCTCTTGCGACATTGTTGATCTTAGGTAAGATTTTATCAATTTTAATTTTAAAAAACTTCTTGCCGCTGAAAAGCAACGGTAACATAAGTTATTAACATTATGCTATAAGCAATATAGGCATTTGGAACATAATTAAATCCTTTTATTTGATTGAGTATATCAATTTAACTATTATCTTCTAATTGTACTATTTTTCTTAACACTTTTAGTTCAGAAAATAAATCTAAACCATCAATATCTGATTGATTATTATACTTTAAGGAACATTCAAGATTAACTCAATATAGGGATTACATTTTTTTTTTGTAAGGAACATTCGAGATTAAGGCAATATTTATTTGAATTGTCATCATCTAGATAAATTAACTTTGGTCAGTCTTTCATTTATAATAAATTAAAATTAATATTAAAAAAAACCGACTGAAATCAGTCGGTTATTTACGTGTGAAAATACAATTAAAGAGTATAAATGAAATAAAAGGTAGTCTTAAAACAAAATTACCAATGGTCTAATGGTAGAATAGTATCCTGCTATAGTACAGACCCTGGTATTCCCACATGGTGTATTTTTAATTACATAATTAAAATACCGACCGACTTTGGTCGGAAAGAACCGACCAACTTTGGTCGGTTTTTTCGGCAATTTTTTTTTAAAATTTAATTGACCGACTAAAGTAGGTCGGTAATTCCGACCACCTTTGGTCGGTATGCCCTTCCGACCTTCAAAATACCGGCCACACGTTAATGGTCGCATTTTGGACGGTTATTGGCCCTTATCGACCTACTTTGATCGGGATTTTTTTTTTACGATTTTTTTCTAATTTTTAGTTGTGATATTTGTGAAAGAAAGAATTCAAATATTTTTACTTGACAAACAGTTTTTTTACAACTTATATGTAGCTTATTAGGTATAATTAAAAATAGAGCTCGCATAAATATGGGCCTAAAGCAATTGATTTACTTGCTTTAGGATCCACTTATATAACTAAATCAAACGCAAATTTTAAATTTTCGCTTATGTTTCGATATAGAAAAAAATTAATACAAGTAAGTATTAAATCATTGTAACTCATTTTGAACTCCCTAATTCTAACCTATGGATGCAGCTGGCAGTTGGGAAGTTGAACCGTAGATCTAAGAAGACGTGGTTGCCTAAACGTAATTTCGATACTATTGTTGTATGATGCAGCCAGGCGTTGACACGTGTCCAGCTATACGACACGTGTAGAGGACAGGGCCACGCAACGGTTATCTTGTTTTGAAAAGCTTGGATTTTCCTTATTGTGGTCGGCACGAAATTTAAGAGAAAGAAAGATGTTTGATTGGAGTATAATATTATTACAAACTTACAGATGTCATAAGGACATATTATTAACTAGGATAAATATCAAAGCAAAAAAAAAAAAAAAAACTAGGATAAATATAAAGTTATGTCATCTTTTTGTAACAAAATGGAAAAAGCGTGTTGGTTTTATACTCCATACGTTAATTTTTATCTACATGAACTTATTTCTTTTTTAATTTGTGCCAAAAAAATATATATTTAAAAATAATTTACCTTTATTGCTTTTATATATATATATAATATATATATTATTTTATGCTATAAACTTATAAGTATTCTTTTTCCTTAAATTTCGTTTTCAGTCAAATAAATTATTTAAATTGTAACGGAAGAAGTATTAGAAGTCGGGGAGGTGAGGGTTAGGACCAAGCACTAGCTACTAGATAACTACTCCTGATGTTTTTATTTAGTTATCACTTTCTCTAGATTTAAATTACGTGAACTTTGATCAGCATTTTAACAAGTATTATTTATTATATAGATATGAGAAAATTTATAAATTAAAGTACTTTTTGTATAATTTTTAAATATTTCAATTTAAAATATTATTATTAACTAAATTGACTCTCAAAACGTAAACAAAGTAAATGAGCACGTAGGGAGTAATTTTCTCATAAAAACGAATTCCAAATTTCACTTCAAAGTTATGGATCCGTCACTCAGATTTTACTCTCTTTTCGTAAAGCGAACTACAAAAAAATGAGCCAAACATTTAAAGAAATTCTTATGAGCTAATCTTTTAATATATATCAAATCATGATATCAATCTAAATCGTTAAATTAGTGACAATATGGAAAATGATTGAGTGATCTGTTATTTTAGTTGATCCTAAACAGGGGCAAAAAGCGTTAATTTTCGTAAAGCAAATGAGGTCCATAAAAAACAGAAAACTTGACAGTTGAGTAATCTGTAGAAGCGTTCTTTAATTAATTACGCTATGCCACGAGTCATGTGTTGAGCAGATGTAGCCTTATATTCTGCCATGTGTTAGAAAATGCATGTAACTGAGGTTGTCACCATTTGAGGAGAAGCTTATAAATTCACACATAATCAAATCCACTCCATCTTTGTATTTTCATCTTCTTTCGTTATTTCACACAACACAAACAAAGCATAAATAGATAACAATATGGCAAGCCACGGTAACGACAACCTTTACAACAGTGGCGCACAAGCCCCTGGCCAAGCTCAGGTATCATTACTCAATATTAGTACTCAGGTATCATTTCTTTTTTAGTAGTTTCATCCATTTAAAATTATGTTCTTTTTCCAATTGCAGATTAGAAGGGATGATTCAAACGCACCTTCTGAGGGCCAAGCCCATAACTTTCTTCAAGAGGTAATTATATTATTTTTAGCCCTTCCTAATTAAATTTTAGGTGCGATCAGTTAGGATTTTCAGATGAAAATAGTAGTCGGAAAAATATATAAAATCTGTATATTTTTTTTGTATATATACATTTTGCATTTTATATATAAAAATTATATATAAATTTTATACGCTTTTTCGGTTACAAGATGTAAATAGTTGACGCTGACGCAGACAAAAAGTGATAATACCCCTTTTTAGATTATATGTACGTCCGAATTGTATCCATTTATATATTTATTGAAATCTTTAATATTTGTGTGTGAAAATATAGTCCAAGTAAAAAGTTGTAGAACCATCCTCCATTTAATATATAACCAGTTTGGTGCACACTAACGCGTGGATATGGTCACATATATTTTCGCCACATATTTGCAAGAGGCGGTTGAGGCGGTTTTCTTGTCATACGTCGATAATTTTTGCGCCCTTGGATCCACTATGTTTAACGTAGTACAGTCAGATCTCTCTATAATAGTATCCTATATAATAAATATTTATTATAAAAGTAAAATTTTTTTTGGAATCGATTATTATATTATATTATAATATATATCTTCGATAACAACACAGTACTGTATCAGTCAAAATATATCGGAACAAACGAGGATCTTACAGAGACGTTCGACTCCAGTCTAGCAATTAGACACCGAATTCATCTGAATTCAGCTTTTTGAAAGCAGAGTATAAATTTAAATAGTAATAAAATTAACTCAAATCCTAAATTAGCCTCTTTCCTCATATTCATATTTCTAATGTTCTTTTTTTTTTTTTTTTTGGTTAAGACTGGGACACAAGTGAAGAACATGGCACAAGGAGCAGCAGACGTCGGAAAAGGAGCAGCACAAGGTGCAGTGAGCATGGCACGTGGAGCTGCTTTAGGTGCTGCTAACATAGCTCAGGGTGCAGCTGATGCAGTCAAGAATACTGTTGGAACCAACAATCCACCCCATGACAACACCGGCACCGCCGCTGCTGGCAGCCACAGCACCAACATCCCAAATTACCTAGATGAATTCCCAAAAACCAACCCCACCAACCCCAAGATTTAATTTATTGCTCTTAGGAAATGCTGTCATATTACTGAAAAATGCTTCAATCTTTTTTGTCTTTCTTTTATGTTGTAGGCTTGTAGCCTATTACGAGGTGTGGTTTGTCGTTTAGCACACACCATAGTTCTGTCATTTCTTTTTTTCTTTACTGAATTCTATTGAGAATTGTTATTCTTGTATTTAAATATTAAATTGACAGCAGCAGCATCCGTACTGTTTTCTTGGATATACAAGAATTTGTCACAGAATTCGTTTATAATTTTCAGATTGAGAAATGAAGTTCTCAGATTTAAAATCGTATAGATGAAAATGATAATAAAAATATGTTTCCTTGCAATTGACTTTGACCAAATGACAGTGGACAACAGACTACGAGGCTGATGATTTTCTCTTGAAAAATGAAAGATATTGTCTTGATAGTCCCCCCGTATTCTTTTCATAGTATTCCCTGAAATATTATTCAATTACAAGTGGTATTATCTAAAATTAAAATGCAAAGACACTAATGAAAACTCTGAAAAGTTTACCGGGGGCCTGGGAGCAGTATACAAAGGATTTTTTTTGTGAAATATACAAGTATTTTGTTTCTTATAAGAGAACATTATAGTATACGTATCTATCATACATAAATGTCTAAATAAGGTTTTAAGTAAAAATATATTGAAATAAAAGGCTCCCCAAAAGTTTTTATCTATTTCATTTTGATATCATAATGCATTTAGAAGAATTTAACTGTTTCTCATGATGTATTTATCCTTACTAATGTTTTCACCTTTTTTTCTTCTACTACGTAAGTCGTAGTGAGAAGAACAATAAGTTCTAGGGAAAAGCTAACATTCGTTCGCCTTAGGACGCACCGAATACTCCTTAACTTTGAGCTCGAACTATTAAGTTATTCTCCAGCATTTAGCAGATATATACGCACTAAATAATAATATTATTCACAAAACTAAGATTACAAAAGGTGTACATTAAGAGCCCGTTTGGACATAAGAAATTTTTCTCGTTTTTCCAAAAAAAAAAAAGAGATCTTTTTTTTTCGAGATCAGCATTTATTCTTAAAATTTTTAATTTTCACTTGAAATGCATTTTGAAAATTTTCGAAAATTTGAAAAACTCGCAAAAGCTGTTTTTCAAAATTTTACTCAAATCACTCGTAAAACTTCAAAAACAACCCTAAATTATATTCATGTCCAAACACTAACTCTAATAAATTTCAAAAACCATTTTTACTTGAAATTTTTTTCCCCCTATTTTGAAATTTTACAGTTCTTATGTCCAAACGCCCACTAAATTCTCTCTCTTTTTTCTCTTCCCCGGTTCACATATGTGATAAAAATTGAAACTATATATTACCAACAAATTCCTAAATTTGCAACCCTGCTGAAGAAAGTTCTGGTTGGTATACCAGAAAATAATTTTGCGAGTTCTAGTTAAAATATGCATAACTGAATTTTCTGAATTCCAGTGAACAATCTAATTGAAATTTGGCTCTAAACCAGAACCATTGCAATAGATTTGCCTTGTGCAAAACCAAAAATAACCAAATATTGGCATCATACTAAGGAGCACAAAAAGAGGCCAGAGTTGGTAACAAGATGGAATAACAAAACAAAACCCCTATTATACACTTCATGTAGGCAAGAATTCGTCTTGCTACTATTAAGACGCTTTTCTGCTCCGGCTACCTGAACCAGAGACGCTTTTCATACTTAACTCGGTTGGACTATACAAGTCTCTTTGACCCAATGAAGCACTAGCCCTACGAGGAGAACTCGTATTTGGTTCCCCTTTTATGATCTCCGTCTCCAAAACCTTGGCTTCTTCACTTAGCATCTTTAGCTGTCTCAGCAAATTAAGATAAGATGTGTTAGCCACCAGTATAAAAGATGCACAATGTGTGTCAAATCAGCAATGTGTGAAAGCAATCCAAAGATGCAGCAAGTAAATATGGAAAGTACAGCAGGAACAGCCTTTAATACAGATTATAAAAGCAATCTTTTCCTTTTCAAAAGACTTCCTATGAATAGCAAGTTTGAGATAAAAAAATCTTTTGAGGATCACTCCGCCATATGTCTACTCGATACTACCTTTTGTGTAATTTTAGACTTCCTTAACAAGCATTGAACAGGTCATGTTCAGTTCAAGAGCTTTCTCAGTTTTCAATCTATTGGAGAAATAGTGAAGACGTTGCTACCCCGTAGAGATATAATGAATTCTCGGATGACTAAGCCAAAACTTAGAGAGTTTTCCATTTATTCGCATTAACTGAGTACATGTACACAATACACATGAGAACTTGCAGTCTAGATTCCTCTATCATAGATTATTAAATTTGTAGTCTAGCACATACTTAGGGAACTTTCTGTTTATTCACATAAACTGAATACACGGATACAATACACATAATAACTCACAATCTGGAATTTTCTATACCAAAAGTAGTTAATAATAATCCCACTTTCTCAGTCGTCCTCTTCCCTCTAGCATCTTACCATCTTCTCAAAATAAAACACACAGGAGACCACTCGCTATTCACAATGGTAAATCCTCCACTACAACAGATTTCTCTCCTCTCTTAACCAGCACAAGCAAACTTTTCACATTTTTTTTTTGGATGAGTTCAAGTACTTGCTCGAAACCAACTGGATACAAACCAAAACAATGGATCACAGAGTTGGTGATTACATAGAAAGGAAATATTTTTCATATCTTTATATAGGGGGCTAGGGGGGCCAGTAAGGGTGGTTAAGAAGATCTGACGGAATAGAAAGATAGTCCATAACACTATTTCATAAAACAAAAGCTGGACAAAAGAAGTGGAAACTTCTCAGAAAATCAAAAACATTTGTACATGACAAGCAGAGTCTAAATATCAACTTCAAAGTCTCTTGATTCAGTATTAGGTAAAACTGAAGAAAGACGCACAATGGATGACAATATATAAGTATTCATACCCGAATTTCATTCTCTCTCAAGTGGTCCTGAAGGGCACTGATGGCAGGACTTAAGCTGCGATACAGAACAAAAGCAGTGACCAACAATAACACCTCCACAAAGAGGGCCGGAACTGAGTTCTAAAACGGAAGTCAAAGAGTGAGTTCATTTACCAATACTCCATTAATTTGCACATAGAAGCCTGATATGTGGATGTATGATGAATGAAAGTGAGTGGGTGCGCTTTTCCTTCCCTGCAGAAGACATCCCAAATAATTGCAACAGTTGAAGAGCAATAACTTCAGTTACGCAAAGCAGTCAATCGGGAAGTGTTAAGTTACCCACCTCATATTTGTTACAACAGCCTGATTATATGCAGTTCTTTCTTCTTCAAATAATACGCGTTGCAGATCTGTGAATGAGTTCAAAGGTGCATCAAGATTGAGAAGAGATGAGGATGGCAGAACCAGAAGAGGGATTTCCTTTCTGACATATTCTGCACCACTGTCACCAACCAAAAACATTTAGACATTAAGCCAAGCATTTATCACAGTTCAGAAGGATGAGTCAATAACTTGATTAACAAGGAAAGACCAAAATATAGAAATTCTTTGAACCAAAAGGAGATGTGAATTAAACAGCATGCCTCTTCAACTTGTCGTTATACAAGCTCTATTGTCGCATATCAGGCATACAACATCTTCTCGACAAGGGAGACTTGTAAACAACAATTTTTTTCTTTTTTCTTTCTCCTTTTTTCTTTTTTTCTTTTTAGATTTTGGGAAAAACGACTTCAGTGAACAAGCAACTACTGCTCTTCGGCCTTATCTCCAAATGTGCTTTAACTATGGACATTATTAGATAAAATAAAACATGCCAAATTTATTATGCAACTTCTTCAAATAAATTCTACAAGCCCAATAAGGTCAAAATGTGAAGCTTAGTACCCAAGGACCTCATCAGCATGTACTATTGTGAATTTCCTGTGTAAACCCTCGAAGTAAGTGCCTGAACAGAAAACCTATAAGATCAATTGTCCTCCAAATTTCTGACTTATTGAATTCCAGGTTATGACATTACAATGGAATGTATCATGATTCAGAAAAGCGTAATTCAAATAAGCAATAAACGCAATTGCCATGTCATGTATCGGCAATCACTTGATTAACTAAGCCTGACAATTTTTGCCAAACATGTCAAATAGAGATTTTTTACAGTATGTTGGGAGTTATTCTTGCTACAGTCAAGAATTGCTACAGTATGTTGATAAAGCAGTCAGGACAGTGGGATACTTCTTGGCCATGGAGGATGATATGGAAGACAAAAGCTCCTGTGAAAGTAGCATGTTTTGGATGGGTCGCCACCTGGGAGGCATGCTTAACTCAAAATAACTTGCAGAAGAGAGGCTTTTCCCTATGTAACAGATGCTACCTGTGTCAAGAGGATCAAGAAACAGTTGAACATTTGTTCCTCCATTGCAGATTTTCTAGAGAATGCTGGGAGTTATTCTTAAATATTTGTGCTATTGCATGGGTGATGCCTCAGAATGTGAAGGGGTTGATGGCAGGTTGGCAGCAGGTGATATTAAAAGAGACGAAGCAAATATGGGGAACTATCCCATTGTGCATCTTATGGCAATATGGCTCGAAGGGAACAAGGCTTGCTTTGAAGGACAGAGAACTCAAATTGTTAGAATTAAGAGTATTTGTTAACAAAATTTGTATTTTCAGTGCAAATCAAGCCCACTAGTTAGTTCAGATCAGTACATGGATTTCTTGGAGTTGCCAGGAAGATGATTGTAGTAGGCTGTTTTTTGTTTCCTAGTTATCTTCTGTACCATCTTGGTACATTTCAATAAAATCTTTCATCTTATCAACAAAAAAAAATATTTTTTCAAAAAAAAAAAGGAGATTTTTTACATCTATATTTAAGTAGTTGCCCACTTGGGCACCATTTCTTCTTCTGCAAGCTTAAGCTAATTTTCCACTTGACACTCCTCCAGCGACGTAACATATAATGTATTAAAAAGGAACACATAAGATACTTAGAGGTTCTAGTTGTTAAAGACCCACAGTGGTTGAGGGTATAGGATGTAGTTTCTTTATATGGTCTTGAACAGTTCTCACCCCACGAGCAAGCTTTTGAGTGAGTCAAACTCAATGTCTATGTCACTAATGTTGGGTTGCCAGTGTTATCCAGAGTCTAGATGTCCAGCTCTAGGTGTGTACAAGCTGTAATGCTCGCCACTTGAGCTAGCTTTAGGATAAATAACAGTAACTTAACACCAGT